AATGGTGTAGCTGAGAGACGGAATATGACCTTGGTTGAGATGATGCGGAGCATAATGGGGCATGTGAAGCTCTCCCTAGAATTTTGGGGAGAGGCAGTATTGACGGCGAGGTATATCCTCAACCGTCTCCCACTAAGGCAGCCCCACATACTCCACACGAAATATTCACTGGTCGTGTTCCGTCCCTTGACGATCTAAGAGTATGGGTATGCTTGGCCCATGTTCTAGTCCCATACCAAAATTGAACCAAGCTTGATCCCAAATAGGTTAAGTGCATCTTTATAGGATACCCGGATCATGGCAAGGGCTATCGTTTTCTCAACCTAGAGAATGGGGCAGTCCTAGAAAGTAAGGATGCTCACTTTTTTCAGGATGAGTTTCTAGAAACAAGATGCAGTCACGAGTAAGTCAATCTCTTTGAGATGGCCAGTGACATGGTTGAGACTTGAAAACCCAAACCACAAACCCTTAGTAGTAGCAATCGAATTAGAAGACCACTTAATTTCTTCACTTACCTGGGGGAACATTATGAGAGAATTGGGGATGAATGTGATAATGAGCCTACAACCCATAAATAAGCCTTATCTAGTTATGAAAGAAACCAATGGGAAAAAGCCATGAACGAAGAATATCTTTCCATCATTCAAAGCTGTGTTTGGGAATTAGTGCCTCTACTTCATGACCAAAAATCTATAGGATGCAAGTGGGTGTTCAAGAAAAAATTGAACTCTGAGGGAAAGCTTGAGAAATATAAAACTAGACTTGTAACTAAAGGGTTCACCCAAAAAAAAGGGGTAGACTACAATGGAACTTTTTTTCAAGTTGCTAAATTCCCGTCCATTAGGATCTTGATTGCTATAGCAGCCCATTTTGACTTTGAGCTCCACCAAATGGACGTTAAAACGACATTCCTAAATGTCGAGTTTGAAGAGGAAATTTACATGAAACAACCTGAGTGCTTCATAGAAAAAGGAAAAGAGGATTTGGTATGTAGACTTCAAAACTTTGTTTATGGCGTTAAGCAAGCTTCGCGACAGTGGTACATAAACTTCCAAAAAACCTTGTTTAGAGCAGGTTTTACCTCTAGTCAGGAAGATTATTGCATCTATGTCAAGGCAAGTGGGAGTGACATGGTTTTTATCTCATTGTATGTGGACGATATGTTGATAGGCAATAGCTCGATGGCTCCACTAAGAGCGACTAAGGATTTCCTTTCACAACACTTTGATATGAAAGACTTAGGGAAAACATCATATGTATTGGGCGTTAAGATAACAAGAAATAGACGGAATCAAACCATTCAACTTTTCCAGGCAACTTATATAAGAGAGTGTTGGTAAAGTTTGAAATAGACAAATGTAAGCCCATATCCACCCCTATAGATAAAAAGACCAAATTATCCCTGAAAATGTGCCTGACCAAAGATGATGAAAAGAAAGCCATGGAGAGAGTGCCCTATCGAAGCACAGTAGGGTCACTCTTGTACACTATGTCAGGTACGAGGCTTGACTTGTGTTTTACCATGTGTGTGATTAGCCGCTTCCAATGCAATCTTCGATTAGAACATTGGAAGGCGATTAAGAGAATACTCAAATATTTGAGAGGGACCGCGGATTATGCGCTCACGTATGGAGGAGGGTCACACATAGTCATATAGGGGTACTCAGATGCAGATTATCAAGGAGACCCTGATGATGACAAGTAGACATCTGCATATGTCTTCATGCTAGGTGGTGGGACAGTTTCTTGGAAATCCAAGAAGCAGGGTGTGGTGGCCCTATCCACCTTGGAATCCTAGTACGTGGCATGTTGTCAAGCAGCCAAGGAAGCTATGTGGATAAAGAAGTTTCTCAACCAGCTCATGTTCGAGTCCATGAGATGGTCATGTATAAGAATCTTTTGTGACAACCAGTCTGCAATATGTGTAACCAAGGAACCACGTTTTCACAAGAAGTCGAAGCACATCAAGCCAGCTGAATATTATGTTCGGAGCAAAGTCCAACTCGACGAGATAGAAATTGCGTATCTTTCGATAGAGGCAATGTTTGCAAACCCTTTGACCAAGGGATTAGTGGCGAATATGTTTGCCAAAAATGTACATGGGATGGGGCTGAGAGAAAGTGAGGAAGAGAGCTTGTAAAGCCTTCAAAGGCCAAGTGGGAGATGTTGGGGTTATGTGACCATTTAATGTCCTTATGAGAGCATGTACTAAATTTATACAGTGATATATTGGCTTCAGTGGAAGTGTGGTTCACTTTTGGACTGTGAGGTATTTCTGATACCTGGACACACTTGAGTTCGGGCTGGTTATGGCTCAGTGTAATGTTTAAAAACCCATAGTCCTGGGCATTGTGTGAACACAACCGATAAGGGTTTTCGATGTGGGGTTAACCTTTGATGAGTTCTGAAATATGATAAGGACAGCTGGCCAGGGGCCATGAATTTGACCCCTGTGTGTGATGGATGGCATGAGAGGACAAGGGCCTAAATCCTCATCATAACCATCTTACGGCATGTACACTAGATAGTCATTCTAGAAGCGGTCCTTTTGGATAAGGGTGCATGATGTGTACATATGCAGAAGAGATTACTCCCTGCAACATTGGACTGTGTTGGAAGGACCCATAGAGCGTACTGCTGAAATGGAGCCTTGACTTATCTCTAGGGAGGGACTTGTAATCCATGGTTTAGAATCGTATCTCCTTCACTCTATTGACTAACTTTGATAGTCCAATCATGAACCCTAGCGAGTGGCTGTGGGTCATGGGAACTGTTGGGTTAGTTTGAGAAGAGGAAGTGAGATACAGTCTCTAGAGAGGATGTAGTCCTCAGTATATTGTCGTAATCCTAACTCTATGGATCCAATTCCCATAAGATCTTCTTAGATATGTTTGAATATGTTTTAATTATTTTTCAGACAACTAAAATGAATTTTTAGACCTCTCTAGGTATTTTATTTTATTGAGAAATGATTTTTAATCTAGGAAAGATCAATTTTCTGAATTTATTTTAATCAGAGAGAAAAATACAATATTTAGAGATTTTGTAAAATTATTTTATTAAAGGAAATTATGTTTAAAGTATTTGGGGGCCTATTGGGGTACATTGGGCCCACCATACTAGGTGTGGGGCGCACATGGTCACCCTATGGGTGGTATGCCCCACCTCCTTTAAACTTTTCTAAATTGAAAGATGGCAATTATGCCATATGTTAACTTGATATTTTAGGAAACCTTTTGTATAGAGATTTTGATTGATTTCAAAATCGAAAAGTAGAAGAAATTAATAGTGATTGATTTCAAAACAAGAAAGTGGAAGAAATTAATTATGATTGATTTATTACTTTCTATTTCATGGGAATGGAGTTGTGGAAACTGAGGGATAATGGTTCCACCTCATCCCTTTAATCATGATGGCTGATCTAAGGGATGAATGGATGGGATCTCTTCACCTCGCATGTCTTAAGATCAAAGGTCAAGATTAAGTCTCACAAAGATGGCAAAGCCCTAACCCTAAAAACCCTAGCCTTTATTCTATATAAACTAGCTATGGGTAGCCTTCATTCTCTAGACTTGACATCTCTCCCTCTCTTTCTAAGCCTCAAGGAGTGGAGTGCCACTCTTTAAATATCTCTCTTCTTCTCTCTCCAAGCTTTAGGGTTTAGGATAGAAAATAAACCCTAAGGGGTGAAATGCCCAAGCCACATAGCCTAGCCCTATGTCTTGGTCTTATGCCCATGTGTTGAGCCTTGGTTAAGCATATCTAATGTTATGTTCTCTGCTGGGTTTTTGCCTAGGCTTCTCAAATTTGTGAGACAAGTTCTTGGACCTAGATCCCGTGTACCATTGGTGGAAGAGATCCAGTGTGGGGTGTGCTAAGTCCTTGACGGTGACCTGAGGAAAGGTATAATTATATAAAGGTATTATCTTGTTTTATGCCTTTTGATTCCATTGCATGTTTATTTTCTAGATCTGTATCGTGAATGTGTTTTCGTTTTAATGGCAAGCAAGGGAGAGTCTTTGGTGTTTTATTTGTCTCACACATTGTATTGGACACTTGTGAGTGATTCGGGTAGCAATACTAAAGAAAAAGGTAGAAAAATTTTGATCGATATTGACTTGCCCGGTCACATAGTTCACCTTCCAAGAACCATCAAAAAAATGTTTCTATTCCCCTCCTCCCTTCCACCAAAAAAAAGAAAAAAGAAAAATACTACTTTTTCCCTCCTTTTTAAGGGGAAAATAACTGAATTGCCCCTTCTCATGGGCATCTTTCTACCCCCGAAGCAGTTGCCCACATATGCAGGTGCATAATGCTCAGTGCAATGTGCCTGCATATTTGGTCGATGTGCCACTTATGTAGATACATCAAGAAATTCTGTGTATGTGGGTGTATGTGGTGCGCATCAGGGCAGGTCCACATTGATGAGACTCCATTATCCGTTATGCGGCCACTTGTCATAACCATGTTACTATGTTGATTTGAGCAGTTGGTTTTTCTTGTAGACAAATGTACTGGCATATGTGAGTGAGTTGTTTCCCTATTCTCAGTTGAGAAGCATTAGGATGAATATGTTATGAACTGCTGATGTTGTATCCCATAGAATTATGTGGTGGGCATTTTAAACTCTTTTTCATTGTGTTCTCTTATTGTATCTTGAATGTTGTGTGTCCAAGTTCCTGTGAACCTGTTGGCATGGGCACTGTCCTGTCAACATTAATATGAGTGTTCATAGCTCACGCTTCATTATGCCATAACATATCTATGCATCTAGTAGTAATTGAATCCTGTTCTGTATTTACTGTAATATTATGTTCCGTGTTCTCCTCATAGTTCCATATTTATTTCTAACTTCTGCTCTGTTATTGGTATATCCCAATTATATCTTCTTTTCTTTATTGCTTTGAGTTACATTATAGCTCATTAGAATATATTTTACAATTAACCTGTTTTAAATATTTCCTTTTCAATGAAAAGTGTCCGTTTGTTTTTATGTGCAGTCTGAGAATATTTTTAATTGCTGGGATCCTGGGAATCTTCATTCTTCTTCCAATAAATTATTTGGGGAAGCAACTTGAGGATGCGGACTTTGCTGATATTCCTAATGCGTCCCTAGATCTATTTAGCATTTCAAATGTGGGAGATCGATCCAAATGGTAGTGCATATTGCACTTCTAAAACCTTTGCCTGAGCAAATTACTATTGTATATTACCGTGACGGCACTGCAACTTCTGTCATGACAAACTTGAAGTAGATCAAAATATTCAAAGAAGTGACTAACACCTGCTTTCAAAATGCCTCTGCCAGTCTTTTGTGATGTTACTTATAATTTTTTTCTTGAATCCGCTTATATGCATACACACACATATAGTCTCTCTTTATTTTCTTAAAAAGTGTGTTGTTAATATTATTCCTCTCATAGATTGTATGTTTCCTCGAACTCTTGAGTTATTTTTTCAATTAGTGATCTTTATGCGCTAGTTATCTTTTGTATTTCTATATGAAACGTTTCTTTTTCGTTCATCAGTACATTGAACGCAATACTTATAATGAATACACATGAAGGGCTATGTCAAATCAGATCAAATTGGGATCTAGTTTATCACACGTGTTCAAAACAAAAGCTGTCCATATCATGTAAGAAGTTGCCATGTCATCATTAAAAGCTTTTTCGACTCCAGAATAAAAATTCCCTGCTGTCTGATGTATTGATATATTTTAAAACGTAGTTGTCTTGGGACTCATCCAAGCCAACTCTGCGCAGCTTGTCGAACACCATTGTCTAAATTTGCTTTGATTTTCAGCTGAGCAGCTATGTCATACTCTGATTTGGCTCGACATGGAGGACTGTTGGGTGTATTTTTGGTCATAATACACGATGTAATACACTTAAAAAATCTGTACATTAACCTAATGGTGTAATGCAGAAGATAAACATTGCGCGTAACACCAAGCCTATACGCCTAGGCGGATGATGGGTCATTATGCAAGACCAATCAGTATAATGAGGTATGGCGAACCTAGGACTCATCATATAAAGGCTCCTATATGCCTTAAGAGTCCTAGTCATCGGTCAACATAAACAAACTTTGGCTGGCGACCAATGATAGAAAGACTATTGACCTTCTCAACTTGAGACAAGTTTTGGGACATATATCCCTAAGGCCACACGATATTGGAGGAGTTTGAATACGGTACAATACATCTTCAAATTCATCATCGGTCAATTTATATATACCTTGACTAGCGACCAGTCATGGAAAGACCATAGTTATCGGAATCTCTCCTCGGACCCCACGATTCCAGTTCCGATACCCGTTTCCACGTTTTCGTTAAGGAAACTCCACGGAAACTGTTTTTTTGAACCAACGAAACTCGATTCTTTTATTTCGAAATCTCGATTCCGTAGCTAGGTGGAAACCTTTTTTTTGCAACATAGGAAACTCGATTTTTTAATTTTAGAATCTCGATTCCTGACTTATGTGGAAACCTATTTTTGGAACCAAGGAAACTCGATTCCTTAATTTCAGAATCTTGATTCAACACTTCTTTTAAGAATATTTTTCGGAACCAAGGAAACTCGATTCCTTAGTTTTGGAATCTCGATTCCTTAATTTCGGATTCTTGATCCAACAGATCTAGAGAAACTTGAACCCCCTAATTGTGGGTAGACGCTTCCAAATAGATTGAATCTGGCTCCTAGCGAGGTTTAAATCTTGATTCCATGTTAAATGATGCACGATTCTACAAGTAATGGAACTCATTTCGTCAGGGTTTTGAATCATCTACGTTGTATAAACCATTGGTTTCTTGTAAATAATAACCACAATTGTAATGTTTTATTTTCTAGTGGATATCATGCTTTAAGGTCCCCAACGATAACATTAGGCAGCATGTGTACTAGAAGGGGGTATTATTATTTATAAGGTATGTATTTTAGAAAGAATTTAATGAGATTGTGTTACTTTTTTAGTTATTTTTATTATGTTTCTTATATTTACGTTAATGTAAACTGCTATAGTTTCTTGCTCATAGTTATGTGAATTGCTTAAGTGAACTTGCACCACGTCTCGCCTTGCAACATTGCTTATTACTGTACTACCGATTGCAAAATGGTTATTAGTACTGTTATTTTTACACTTTTTTTTCCTGATTTAAATGCCTATAGAATAGTGTTCCTTATATTTGCGGTGATGTAAACTAACTTGGTTTCTTAATCTTGCTCATATGTTATGTGAAATTATTTAAGTGCCCATAGGATAATGTTTCTTATATTTGCGGTGATGTAAACTGCCTTGGTTTCTTAATCTTGCTCATATGTTATCTGAAAAGATTGCTTAAGTGATCCTACACCATGTGTAGCCTTGCAACATTGCTTAGTATTAAAATACTGAATGTAAAGTGGTTATTAGTAATGCTAATTTTATTTATTTGCCTCTAATTTAAATGCGTATAAAATATTGAAATCATTTAATAACATATAAAGCAACACACATGGACTGACGATTCTACACAACAACTTATCTATGTACCACATATGTCAGAAACTCGAATCAAGTGACGTCGGAAATTCGATTATGCTATTGTAATTCTCGATCTCAAACCAGCATGGATCTCATCCATATACTTCAGAAACTTGATTCCAAATATTTTAGAAACACAGATTCCATAAATGATGGAAACTCGATTCCAAATACGTTAGAATCACGATTCCATAATTGATGGAAAATCGATTCCGTATATGTCGGAAACTCGATTCCGCATATGTCAGAAACTCGATTCCATAGATGACGGAAACTCGATTCCACATATTCATGAAACTTGACACTTGGAGTGTCGAACCCATGGGGATGAGAATCTCGATTCCAATGAGGCCAGATTCTCGATTCCATATGTGGATGAAACTTGGACCTATTCCGATTGATAGTCGATTCCTGAAAATTAGGGATCTCGTTCCCAGTGATTCCTATTGTATGGACACCGATTCCTACAATGGGAAACTTCTGGCAGGCGCGATTCCGGTTCCTGAAACGATTCGGGTTCCCAGGTGTTTCCAACAACTATGGGAAAGACTATTAAACCATCTCAATTCCAGACAAACTTTAGAAAATATAACCCCGAGGCCCCTATATGCCTTTCCACATGATATTGGAAGAGTTTGGATGCGGTACGATATGTCTTCAAATGCGTCATATGTCGCAGGAGGGGTATTGGATAGCTGGACCATAAAGAAAACCTCATCAAATCATATTGTATTGAAGTGCGTCCTTGCATATATACTCAATGAGGCCTCGCATATATACTCAATGAGGCCTCATGTGCATTTGATCCAAGAATCATACAAATTGATCCAAGAATCATACAAATTGGGTATCATTTGGCACATCATCTATAATATGTCGGCTGTCAAGATATGCCTTGACTGACGATCCCAAACACAATATTTTGGGGATTGATCCAAAACTCTTGGGAAGTCTTATTTGAGGCAATTTATCCCTCATCTCAGAGTTTAAAGTTATTTGGTGATGGCTTAACCCCTCATCCATATCCATTGGCAGTTTGATCACTATATGATGTCTGCTAGGCAGATAGCCAGGATGACCTTCGGTCACTAAATTTGAGATTTTTCCCAATTTATAGGGAGTTTTTTCATGAGATTGGGACCAATGGATTCCTGACTCAATGCCCTATCCACCATATGAGTGTAGTACCATGTGAATATCTCATGTGAGAATTACAAGCTTCACAACTATAGTCATTAAAATTGTGCAAAAGCTTGACTGTAGCTGCTTAACATCTCCCAATAATGAAGTGTCTTGAGCCCAAATTTTGTGGAGATGTGGATTATAGTCCCCTCTATAAAATTTTCATACTCCCAAGGTTTATAATCGCATGTGGTGAGAGTGATTGAGTTTGCAATCTTCAGATCTACTGACGCAATCTGCAGCATAAATGGGTCCCCTACAGCGGGCTGTATCTCTTTCGTCCGTGATCCATTTGCTGTGAAATTTGGACTATTGTGTTGTCTTTGAGTCCTCTATTACTCCACAAAATTTCATGGTAAAAGGATTCGTCATCGGATAGCTGCAGTGAAAACACTTAGACATGTCGGGATTGATCTGTAATCTGACCAAGGATGGATCAGAATAAGTACTCTCCTTAATTCTTTCGTGAAATATCTCACCAGATCTTGGTAGTTTCACGTTCAGATTCAAACATCAGGACATAATCAAGTTCAAACAAGGATAAAGCTTATTATTGAAACCACCTGAGGTGTCTTTAAACTTGAACTAAGATGTGAACTTATAGCATCGAACCAACTCATGAGAGATTGTTGGTTGTGGTTAAAGTTTTGGATGAACATTATGGATTTGCATCCTCATCCTATTGAAAAATCTATTTAAACCCCGTTTCTCAGTGTGAGAAAGGACGGATCCTTTAATCCTCACACGCCGATCACGACTCAATAAGCTTTCCAACGGTATAAAAGTTGTGATCAAGGCACGGATGGTCATGTTAAAGGAAAAATGTTTCCAATTTTGGATGGTGCTGATTTTCCTGGCTTTCATGGTTTCGGAAGGTTATAACTTGCACAATCGATGTGATTTTTAGACGGTTTTTGATGCAAAACAACTGTTATGGCAAACCTTGCAATCTAATGGCATCAGAATAAGGAAATGTGGCTTCATAAGGTGAGATAGGTGCATGGAAAGTGCATAAAGTTGAAATTTGCAAAAAATGCTAAAAACTTCCCCAAAGCTTTATGCCAAATTTGATGCAAAATGATCACCTCGCCGTGATCTATGATTTAGCGGCAATGGATCGTCAATTTCGGTGCCGGAAAGCAAGAATCAAAGGCCCCATAGCACAGGTATGGGTTGAGGCAAGCTTTGTGCAGGACTAGAGTGGAATTTCAAGCATGTTGGCCTTGTTTCCCTACCCTTTTGGGTTTGGACAGGATAACAAGTTGATTTTCCACCCCTTTTTCCTGCTTAAAGTTGATTATCCACCCATGTTCTAAACCTCAACTATAATAGGGTTCAAGGGCCCCACTTTTGAAATGGGAGTTCATTTCTGTTGTTTAGGGTGTAGAAATATTCTAGAGAGTGAAAGAGAGACCTCCCAGACAAAGAAAAACCTTGGCCTAGAGCCTAGAGAGAGAAAGTAAGCTAGAATGAAGAACTCCTAGAGAGAAACCGTGGTTTTCCCTCTAGGCTCTCTGAGTCTAGAGAGAGAAACTCCAAATATCAAACCCCAAGCAAGGCATACCTCAAAATTGACCTAAGGCTGGCATGAGAGACCAAATGAGCTTCTCACGGCATCAAAAAAGCCAGGTTGTCTAAGAGATTCCCAAATCGACTTGGGAGATTCTGAACCCACCAAATTTGTAAGCATTTACTTGCTTAATTGAAAGATTTGTATTCTTATTTTCTCTTTTTTTTTTCCTTTTATTTTGGAGTTAATTTTATATAGATTGTCATATGTTCGCAAGCACACGAAAATCGGGCACACAGTAATACTTCAAGCCCTTCCTTCCTTCCTCACAATTGAAATAAAATGAATATTCTTTTGGTTGTCACACTATTCTTTCATAAATTCATGTCGCTTCGTTATGTCCATTTAAATGACTAGTTAAAGGTTTCTGGAATATTTTGCATCAAATATTTATAAAAATCCACTGTTTTTGTTTAAATTGGTTTTTTGACCTTTTGCCTATTCTAACATTTAAGATATTGGTTAAACTAAACTTCAAATATTCTTTGGCAGGTTATGGATCCATTTTGTTTCTGTTTATGTTATCACGGGGTCTGTTTGCTACCTTCTATATGTTGTAAGTATTGAAATAACACATGAAAATATGAATATGTCCCAAATTTCACTTTTGGTTTTTCTAAGTAAGGTTTTGTGAATTTATTCCAGAAAAAGAAAATAAGGAGACGATTTAACTTATTTAATCTCAGTTGACTCATATATAGGTGTCTATTAGAATAAGGGGAGAAAATGCTTATCCATTTCTTACTCATATGTCATGTGGTATTTCTGGTGAACATGGTCCCATAGTAGGGAGTGATCTCGGATTAGTTTTTTCCCAACAAGGTTTTATGGAGTGAGTTGCTTCATCTAAGGTCTCAGAAGTTTTAATTGCTGATGATAGATTGAAATGGGTTCTTTGTCCAGTAGTAATTTTCATGCTCTGCCCTTTGATATTGTTCTCCATGTGGAATTCTAATTAGTATGAATATTGATGCTTTGTGCAGGAGTACAAATATATTGCCACCAAGAGGCTCTCCTACTTTCTTTCTTCTCAACCGCAGCCTCATCACTTCACCATTCTTGTTCGTGGCATCCCTTTAAAGGAAGGCAATGATTTGAGTGATGTTGTTGAGAATTTCTTCACTAAATATCATTCTTCAACCTACCTCTCACATCAAGTTGTTTGTCGGACTGCTAAGCTTCGCAACCTTATTGTAAGAGCTCTTCTAGAATAATTTTTATCAATTCTGTAACATAGTTGGTATTGCTGCTTATATTTCTTTGCATTTGGATTTGAATTAAGATACTTTAATGGTTCCAATGTTTAATTTGAATTCTGCATTGAGATTACATCGAGTTTTTCTAGGGAGAGCTTTACAAATCTAGGATTGCAGAAGGGAATTACTTCTCTTACGTCATATTCCTCCAGATACCATATTTCCTTCTTTTGCTCTCTAAAGTGGAGAGTGTAGTTGTCTCTATGCATGCTCTTTATTGGAAGTCCATTTTGTGGATCCCTTGTCTTTTGGTTTGTGGTCAATCACAGGGTTGATTCAAACTTTGAAATATTTGTCAAGGGATGTAGTGATGAAGTACAGTTCTATTTTCTACCATGGCTGTAAGAAATGACCATATGAGAAATTTGAGCAAGGCATCACACATACTCATTGTTTTTAAGAAGTATGGTGAAAATACACCTCAAGATCTCCACAAAAGCGAAGTTGATGCTAGAGGAATAAAATGAGCCTAATCCATTGAACATCAAGGAAGTGAAAAAGAACTAAATATGGTGTGCTGACCAGTCCAAAAGGCGATGGGCTCCATATTTAGGAAAAGGAAAAAAATTGAAGAGCACAGAAATTGTACTCTTAAAATGTTGATAATCTTAGGTCAAGTTACCCTTAAATTGAGTGGGCTCGACTTATTTACAAGACAAGACAAAATCTATTGGACTGATGACCTACATGTTCTCAAGAACATCCCTTGGGCTTTTAGCTCCACAATCATCATCATCATCAACCAAGCCTTATACCAATAAATTGGACTTGGCTAAAATGATGCACCGGACGGTCCTTCAATTAGTCAAGATAGTTTTCATGGGCCTTGTAACTTAATCAATCCGTCCTTTGATGAACCCCTTTATGACGATCCACATCCCAAGGTTGTAAGGAGATCCAAGAGGGGATGGCCTAAAAGAGTTTATTTTTAGCCTATTCTTGTTTTTGCAATCTCGTAGTGATTTTCAGTGTTTTAATTAAAGTTAAGGGCAGTTTAGAGATCTTTTATGTTTTGATTTAAGTGAAGGGCTTATAGGGTATTTTTGCAATGGGTGTAGTTTTGGCCCTTTTTTTTTATAAAAGGGACTGAGCTATTAGGGTTTCTAACACTTTTGGGGAGTTAACTGTAAATCCAGGCTGTAAGTAGTAATAACAAGCGCTATCTTGGGTTTTGAGGTCACTTATTTGTGCAAGGGAAGCCAGATCCACTCAAATCTGACCAGTTTTGATGGTTTCTTGAACTGTTTTTGCTCCTTTTCTCTATTGCCCTGCATCATAAAACCTTGTTGTAACCTATGAAGCCATAAGAATCCGTAATAAATCCGACGTATTTAGGTGAGAGGAAGACGGAGAGAGAAAAGAACAACCAAAATATGAGCAAGACCTTTAATCTTCACTTTCCAAGGTTTTTGTATCGATTAAGAAAAAAAGAAGAAGAAGAAGAACTACTTTGCAAGACCCAATTATAATAATAAATGTCCCTATAATATATAATGACGCAGATAATCATGTTGTCTTCAACATTCCCCTCACTCGTGGATACTAGAAAATATTTTTGCTAAGATTATGAATCGTGTATTACATTTTTCTGTGATATTCTATCACATCTTTTAAGCAAGCTAACACTTTTTTGTTCATCTTTGTATCTGCAAGAATGGAAAAACACACATCCGTACTATTAGGAATAGCATGGGGTTGTGGGATTATTGGCAAACATATTTCTAGAGTTGTAACCTATGTATGTTTGTCACATAATGTTATAAGGAAATATGTGCAATTAAGACCATTTATCTTTTGTATAAGGTGTTCATAGTCACTTCCGGCTGTTAGATGCGAAACTGGAAGGCTGAGAGTGTGTGATTGATCAGGCTCAAAGTTCAAAGAAAAACTCTGTGACATATTGTAAGCTGTCCGATTTGACATTTGATGGTTAGGATTAGTTGTGACCTTCTTATTCAAAGATAGATGATCTTATAGTATACAACCCATGTTATAATATCATTATCAATAAAAAATCTACGTTGCCATCAAAATTGTGTTTAGACCTTTAGGGGGATGCAAGAAAAAAATTTTAGGTGAGGAATGCTAATACACATTATCATGACATGCACATAATTTTCTGAGAAAGACGTACTCGAAAAGTTTGGTTTTAAAAGAATGCATATTTTACTCCTGTATTTTAAAAACTCATCACTAGAGGATGTACCATCATATGGTCTTACGTCTTCAAAAAAGAGTGAGTCTGTTGGATTAAATGTATGCATGTGTTAATGTGCATCTCATAATGACTCACTATATGGAAACTTTTTGTTGTAGTGCACGTTTCTATGCTTTTTCTGACAACGTGCATTTGTTTGTGATGAAAAATAAGCCTGAACTGTCACTTTTTGAGGTCTCTCCTGTGATACTATGAATACAATCTAGTGATAAAATGGATAAGTTAGTAATGGATTTGAGTTGATCAGTTGTGAGGAACTAAGAATATGTAGAATTCAATATTTTTTTGTTTGGGAACTAAGAATATGTAGAATTCAATGTTATTTTGTTTAGGAACTAAGAATATGTAGAATTCAATATTTTATTGTCTGTGGTTTTATGTTAAGTCAAACTTAACTTCCTCTTGTGATTTGCTTGTTTTATATATTAGTGTTCTTGCTATAATCATTTCCAGGATAATGCAAAGAATCTGTACAGAAGGCTTAAGCAGTACAATTCAAGACCCCATTCTCAACAAAAATTTGACCGAGTTGGATCTTTTGTGTTGTTTGGAAAAAGGGTTGATCCCATTGATCATTACAAAAAGAAGTTGGAAGATGTGGAACAAAATGTACGGGTTGAACAATCTATAGTTTCACAGAAAGGAAAGGTAAATTTTTGTTCTGGTGCTTTTAGTGTAAATTTGACAATGAGCAATTGGTCTCTGTTGATTTGCCTTGATTCCCAGTGGATGAGGTCTCAAGTCTGACAGATACCCTAACGTACCTATTTCAATATACTTAGGAACTCATTAGTATAAAGAATGGGGTGGCTAATATTGAAATCTTGAACTATATGTTCATTTAAAATTTGAAACCATCAGCAAAAATTATTCATCTAATGAAATGTTCTGTATTCCTTTTCTAAATTCAAGCATTGCATACGGGAATCCTTTGCAAAGAGTTGGATATGACATTTGTAGATTGACTGTAGCTCTTCTTGAAGGATGTAAATACATTCTTCTATTATGTTGGCATTGTGCACAAATAAAATCTCTTTTGCATCTCAATTTGATGTAACTTAGTTTGTGGTAACATAATTGTCTTCATGTTCATTGACATTTTCCTTTGTGTGTTATGCTTTTCCTGTTTATAGGAAGTTCCAGCTGCATTTGTTTGTTTTAGAACACGATATGGTGCTGCAGTGGCTTCCTGCATGCAACAATCGAATAATCCCACAAATTGGATAACAGAGCCAGCTCCTGAACCTCATGATGTTCACTGGCCATTTCTTTCTACAAATTTTCAACAAAGGTGGTTTTCAAAGCTGGTAGTAATTGTCGCCTCTATCTTTATAACTGTCATCTTCCTTATTCCAGTTGTATTTATTCAAGGCCTTGCAAACCTGAACCAATTAGAGACACTGTTCCCTTTCTTGCAAGGGGTTTTATCAATGTAAGTGTTTCTATTGCCTTTTATCCTCAGTCACTACACAATTGTCCTCATTTTTCTGGAACGTTTCCTAGGGACTTGCATGAGTTTCCTGGTTTTCAATAGGTATTTGATTGTAGATTTTATGTAGCATAGCATTTTATGGTTTATGGACTAGCTTTGACAATTTGGTGTTGAAATACTGTGTTGAGAAGTAGAAAGCTGTCTTACCACTTCATGATAAGCTATAGTCCCACATATTGTTGATAATTTTATTTATGCAAGTGTAGGGCAATGGAATAGTTTTTGACACTTTATCTTATCATTTGTTAGCATATGTATTCTTATTTATTACAGCTTTCTGCTCTGGGTTCATGTAAATATATATTACTATCCTTATGCATGTCCAATGTAAGGTTAACATATGATTTGCTGAATGGGTTGAATGATCTCCACACCTCGGTGGTTTCTTGATTTTGAATGACATATCAGGACAATTGTGCTGCCCTATGTTTCTTGTGAAAAGAAATGAATCACATTCTGGCCATCAACTTATTCTTACGACTTAGTTAACATATAATTTGCTGAATGGGTTGAATAATCTCTGCATCTTGGGAAATTTTTGTGGAAGCAGGAATTAGAGCAAGGTCAAGGATGTTACCTTCAGGAAACATGTGGAAGCACCACATAAGAATTGGATTCTGATGTAGAAGACTGCCTGAAGATTTTTGCTTCACTCAGCTCCAAAAGAGCAAGAATTTGTGAATATCCTGGAAATATGAAATTTGCTGTTCCCCATCTGGGAAATGGGATATTGGCATCCCCTGCCTCATTTTTGGAATTTTGAATACACATTTCTCATGTTTGCCTCTTCTTTCTAATCTTCCTGATCCAAGTCATTGATGAGGTCCATCTGCCTTTGTAGTGTTGACCAAGTGACTGCAGAAGTGAGACGGCAAATTATGGTACTGACACTGATTTACATCACCCTCAGAGTATGGGATTGGATCCTATGAAGGATCATCTGCTCCTGACATTTACCTAGAGAAACACAGTTTTCTCTGGAGCAGTTAGACCACTATCACCACCTCAATACAACAAAATTAAGTTGTGGAAAGATGACTGCTTTGTCTTTTTGTGATATTTTTGGTAATCCTTTAATTTTTGTCTCTTGCTAAGCTCAAGGGTGTATGTCAATTTTTACAGGAAAATCAGAGTTTTTTTCTTCACATAAATCAGCCATTTTCAGTATCTAGTTCTTAAAAATAGCTATAAAAAAGGCTAAATATGTCCTGTGGTTTATACAAAGCTAGTGTGGCTTTTAGTTCATACATGCTGTGATAATGCTTGTCTATATGTTTGGAGTTTAATTTTGAAGAAAGACGTGCAGTCAACTCTATGTTATCTATAAGAGCGAGTATAGCGTGCTGCTGCTTGAGGACATTATACACTCTCTCCCTTGGGTAAAAATTGTGGGAGTATCTACTCAATCTAAAATATTGGGTTCGACTTTAGGATCACCAGATAAGTACTTTTAAGAAAAAATGGATTTTGCGTTTCTAAGCACATATATTTGGCCATCCAAAAATTGGAGGGTCTCTTTTCAATCCCAAGATGTTATGTTTTTAAGAATATACATAATATGTTTTCTTTCTTCGAGGTTGGTCGCTAGGTTAAGCTATGTCACCTAAAATTCAGGGTCTTAAAAATGCTCCTAGATATGATTTTTATCCTAGAGATCATATACCCTCTGGAGTGTAGAGATCATTTACCCCCTGGAGTGCATAATCTTTCGTTTAAATATAATGTATGATGTAGTATAGGTCATATGTGACCTTAAAAATCTTGAAATGGGGTAGACTTGAAGCCCCCCTGGGGTGTATAATCTTTCAACTACATATAATGTATGATGTAGTATAGGTCATATTTGGCCTTAAAAATCTTAAAATGGGGTAGACTGGTGGCTTCAAATTTTCTAGCTCTTCTCTGTCTCACATGACTCTTAGTCCACTTTCAGAAATATTGTATGTTCCAAGTATATTGATATGATATTTATGTATGGTAGAGCTGGTTTAATGTCCTGTTATTGAAACACATTGTCTCGTATCTTTTTAACATATATCGTACTTCATCATAACAATATGTTTTATTTGATTGCAGAACATTTGTAAGCCAAGTAATTACAGGCTATCTTCCCAGTCTTATACTGCATTTGTTTTTATTGGCTATACCTCCTATTATGAAGACGTTTTCATCCATGCAAGGATATTTCTCCTGTAATGAAATAGAGAAAAGTGCTTGCAGCAAAGTGCTCTGGTTTACTATCTGGAATATTTTCTTTGCAAATGTTTTTTCTGGATCTGCTCTCTATCAGTTTAACATATTACTCGATCCAAAGTATATTCCAAGGAGGCTAGCAGTTGCTGTTCCAGCACAGGTCAGGATGACTTTTCAGTATCATACTTATGAGCTGTACTAGCATATGAATTAGAAATACATTGGCCATTTTTCTGATACAGCGCTTAATTTATGAAAACTTTAATATTATGTTTTCAAGTTTGTTTCTCTGGTTTTTCATCATGCAATATGTTAATGTCAAGTTCCTAAATTGCTGTGAGATCAAATAAAACTCTTCTTATGCTTGTATCCTATATCCTGGTAATTGAACTTTTAATACTCCGTTTATCAAGGGCCATACCCTCAGTCAGATTGTAAGTCACCATATCTTCTCACTACTTCCATCCATGTCCTGCTAGGACTTCCCCTTGCTGTTTTATAGCCTTCCACCTGAACCAAATTACCCCTTGTAACTAGTGTTGCTCTAGGTTGGCATTGAATATCGCCAGACTACCTAAGTCTACTTTCTCTCGTTTTATTGGCCATTGGAGCGACCCCTATGTTCCATCGGATGTATGCATTCCGAATTCTATCCTTTCTTTTCATGCTATTCATCCATCTCGACATCCTTGTCTCAGCCACACTCATTCTACGGATATGTTGCTTCTTGACCGCCTAGCATTCCATCTCATAGAGCATGACTGGTCTTACAACCCCCTATAGAACTTCCCCTTCAGTTTCATTGGTATGCGATGATGACATAAACTCCAGAAGCACATCTTCAGTCTTAGCGAACACTAATTCTATGTGTAACATCTTCCTTAATCTCTCCGTTCTCATGGATTATTAACCCAAGATATAAAAAATAATATCTTTTAGATACTTCTTGGTCATCAATCTTAACTAATTTCTCGTTTCTATTCCTATTAATTCTGAACTTGTATTTTTGCTAGTTTGAAGAAGTTTTTCACCTTCTCTTGTTCTTAATTTTATATGTCATCATATGCCTTATGTTTACCCTTTTATTTTCTTAGTGTTCTTCTTGTCATTTTTATAATATTCTAAGTTTTGACATTTCTATTCCTTGTCAAGCTTTGTACCATAATCTCATCACTTCACTACCAAGTTTCTTTAGCTAAATCTTCTTTCCCTCTAGATTCTCCTAAAACTTCTTTTGCCACTTTCTTAATACAATCAGCCATCTCATTCGCTGTAATATTAACTGTCTTCAGATTCTATTTTCCTTCTTTTATCTATTTATTTCTAAATAACTTTAATTTTTTCCTTTTTAAATTCCACCACATAGTTCTTGGACACTTATTAATCATTCCTCCTCCATGTCTTTATGTAAAGATCCATAATCATGAGCCTATGTTCTGTGGTTACACCCTCTCCTAGGATAACTTTACAGTCTTTACATGATAATAGTTCACCTTCTTAATTAAAAAGTCTATCTGGCTTTTAGATGATATGCATTTGGAAGTTGTTAAATGTCATCTCACTTTTTATTGCAGTTGTTTGTCATTTCTAGGTTGTAAGCCATAGCGAAATCAAGAAGTTCCTATATATGTTCACTATGAATCACAAAATTTGTTTTGGCTTTGGTTATGGTTATGGTTATGTTACATAGATATACTCATTTGGTTATGTTATTCCTCGAAACCATGATTGACTGAAGGCTAGTGGGTGGATGATCATTATATTCCTTCTCCAAGAAACTCCATCTATTATTTATTTGCATAACAATAGTGTCAGGATTTGATTTTCTGATGAAATGTTATTAATCTTGGCATGGTTATGTCATGCAAATATTGACGAGGGGGAGAACTAAGTTTGTGAAGCTATTCGGTGGATTCTCATCTTAGCTCTTTTGCTTTTTTTTTTGAAATCCCATGCAATTAAGAAGAAAAGAAAGAAACCATGGGTGATGACAAGGAATGATGTCAACGTAAAAACACAAATGAGAAAAGTTAAATTTGTATATTATAGAAAGTCATATATTTTCATGCGAGAGTGTGCATTTGGCTTTACATTAATTGTAATGACATAATGCAACCTCTTAAATGTATAGAGTTACAGCTCTTGCTTCATTTTGTTGGGATTTGTGGCCCTTATAGGCCTAGAGAACATGTAAATAAAATTAGTGATAGTGGATTATGCACTTCAGTGATAGTGTATTGTGGATGATTGACCTAGAGTTGAGAAGTCTATGGCCCAGGTAATGTCTAAAACCCTTATCCTTGGGCATGTGGCCCTACCGTGAATGTTTATTGTAGGTCATCCCTTGTTGAGGTCTAAGAGATGCTCAGGAACATCGTATGTAGGCTAGAAGAGTTGCGTAGTCTCTTGTATGTGGAGGAAGGGCCTATGAGAGTGATGGTCAAATCCTCAACAAAACATCCGCAAAACATGTACATATGACAACCTTGGTCTAAGAAAGGTGAGGACCTTAAACTTAACTTGTTCCAAGCACGGTAAAAGAGGTAGGTTGTATAGGTAGCCAACATAAAACTTTGCCAATACTTTCCATGTACATATAACAGCCGCATTTTGGGAAGCAACCCTATATAGAGGATACTTGTAGATGTGCACCGAGAGAGTGCCTCCTTGCACTATAATAATACGTGCATTTGACTTTATCTTAGAGGGGAACCCGTAATCCACATACTAGGCCTATGGTTATATTATTTATTGCCTAATTTGGGCAGGCCAATCATGAGGCCCTGCACTTGACTGTGGGTGATGGGTCTTGTTGGATTAGATTGAGAAGACAATAGAAGATCATGGTTCCTGGCACAGGTGAAGTGCCCGGACAATCACTTGCTTTTGACCTTTTTGGTACATACCCACTTCTGAGTTGTATTTCTATATATTATTATTATTATTTTTTTTTTTGTGGGGGGGGTAGAACTTCATAAACATTATTTTCAACCAATCAACGAAAATTTTATCGCCTTGCTGCCTAGGCAGCCTGGCTGACAAACTGCCTTAATGGTGGGGTCTGGTCGGGCATGCCTAAGGCAAGGGCCTAGGCGGTCAAGGCATGCGCCTAGGTGGTTTGGGCGCCCAAAAAAAAAACATAAATAAATTTGAATCTACTGAATAAAAAATAAGGCCTGGTATTACTCTTCTCTCTCTCTCTCTATCTCTATGTGCTCTTTCTACATATGAAAAGAAAAAGAAGATGAACTCCAAGTGTTCGACGTGTGACCTCTCTCTCTCTCACACAAACACACACATACACACTCAAAGATACACATGGACTCATGTGCTCCCTCTTTACATGTGAGAAGAAGAAAAAGAAGAAGATGACCTCCAAGTGTTCGATGTGAGGTCCCTCTCTCACCGACTCTCTCTCTCGACATATCCTCCAAGTGTTCGAGACCTCTCTCACAAATATAGATTCAAAAGAAAAAAAGGGATGGTTATGAAGAATTTCATGCGAGACCTCATGCACACACATATTTGTGCATGCACACACACACACACATTCACAAAACACACAACGCAAAAACACATATGGCCCCCATCCCAACCCCTTCCCTTAGGGCTGCCTTTGTGTCTGGGTGCCCGCCAAGGCGGCTGCCTCCGCGAACATTGTTTTCAACTAAAAATGTCTTTATGCTATTTTTGGATATGTTTTTGGAATTATAAAATACTTTAGTTGCCTTAAAAACTGAAAAGGGTATATTTGTAATTTTGAAAATAAAGGGGGTATTTGTGGAATTTATTTTTGTTGATTGGACCCACACATTTTTTTGGGGTTTTTTTTTGTAGGGGAGGGGGCGGCTGCTAAGGGCCTAGCCGCCACGTATGTGTGGCCCACATGGGGTGGCAAGGGGGCCCCACATGGGCCACACGCCTCTCTGAGTGGGGCACCCTTATTTTGCATTAGTCAAAATCATTTTTTGTAATTGTTATCTTAAATCAAAAAAATTTAAATTCTTAGTGAAAAATATTCTATGTATATTTTTTTGTGTGATTTAGATAATCTTGACCGTCTTTAAATTAATTTGTGTTCCTTATTATTCCTTCACCATAGAAAATGAATTCTAGATTATGTTTGATTGGTGAAAGTTCAAGATAGATTAGAAGTGGATTGGGTCAAATATCAGGAGATAAGGTTTCTAAATATTCACTCTAGATCATGATGGTTGAGTTTAGAGATAGATGCTCTCTCTCACCTCACAGATTGCCTAATTGAATGTAGATCAAGTTGAAGTTCTAATCTGACTGGGAGTCCCAATGCCCTGTAGACCTATATAAAGGGCCCCTCATTTCATCATCAGACCTCTCCCATCTCTCTCTTCTCTTCACGCCTCTCTCTCTTACTTCTCTCATCTCTCTCTCTCTCTCTCTCTCCCCCTCTCTTCATAAGTGGCATTGCCAACATAGAAGAGAGGGAGAAAGAGGGGGCATGCCTAATCCTAATTCTTGATTTTGGGGGAGGTGCCATCTTGGCAATACCCCAAGGTTAAAAACGGTTCTTTGTGAAACCCTAATTGTGACCAAAGCTCTATTGACCCATAGGATCTGGATAAGGGTATCCCAGAGGTGCTTCCTACTTCAGATTGAAAGGTGGACTATGTGACCTGGCAAATCAATATTGATTAATATTTTTTTATCTTTTCTTATGTATTGCCACCCCAATCACTCACAAGTGTCCATATACAATATATGAACCAATTAAAAACACAAGAATGTCAAGGACTCTCACTTGCTTTCTATTAAAATAAAATTACATTTATAACATGGATCTGAAAATTACATAAAGATGAAATTGATTCAAGAAAGCATGAAACAGAAAAATAGTGCATACCTTGCCTCAGGTTATCCTCAAGGGCTTCGTACATCCCACACTGGGTCTCCTTCACCAATGGCGCACGGGATCTAGGTTCAAGAACTTGTCTCACAACTTAGGAAGCCTAGGCAAAGCATGACATGGGATTAACTAAAGGCTCAACACATGAGCATAAGGCTAGTACTTTTGGGCTAAGCTTTGTGACTTGAGCGTGCCGCCCATTATTGTGAGACTTAAAATTGATCTTTAAACTTGGAGACCTATGGGGTGAAGAGATCTCATCCATTCATTCCTTAGATCAGCCATCATGACAATTATCCCTTAGTTTTCATAACTCTATTCCCATCAAATATTGTGTGGAGAAAATGCTAAATCAATTTCAATTAATGCTTACACTTTCCCTTTTTGAAGTCAATAAAATCTCTACACCACTTTTTCTTAAAAATCTCAAGTCAATTGCATGCCTTATGACACAAAGCACAAAATAGAAAAGAGAAGAAATAAGGAGGTGAGGCACACCACGCTATGGGTGGCCATGTGGACCCCACGCCCCACTAATTGGTGGGTCCAATGAATTCCAATGGGCCCCCAATATATTAAAAATAAATTTCAGATAATAAAAGAAATTTTATGATTTCATCAAATATTAATTTTCTCGCTGATTAAAATAAATCCAAAAATTTAATTTTTCTTATTTAAAAATCATTTTTCAATAAAATAAAAACCCAGAGAGGTCAAAAAACTCATTTTAATCATCTGAAAAATACTTAAAACATATTTAAACATATGTAAGAAGATTTGATGGGAATTGGATCCATAGAGTTAGGATTACAACAAATATACTGAGGACTTCATTATTTCTAGAAACCGTACCTCACTGCACTTTCTCAAACTGGCCCAACAATTCCCATGACCCGCAGCCCTTCGCAGGGATTCATGATTAGACTATCAAAGTCAGCCAATGAATGAAGGAGACACGATCCTAGTCCATAGATTACTGGTCCCTCCCTGAGGACAAGTTCAGGCTCAATTTTAGCACTATGCTTCATGGGTCCTTTCAACACAGTCCAGTGTTGCAAGGAGTCATCTCTTCCGCGCATGTACACATCATACACCCTTATTCAAAGCGCCGCCTCTTGGACGGCTATCCAATTTACATGCCATGTATTAGTAATGATGAGGTTTTAGATCGTTGTCCTCTCCGGCCAACTATCACACACCCCTGGCGTATTTGTCTTGGGCACAATTCCGACCTCATCAAGGGATAACCCCACATTGAAATCCTTATCTGTTATGCTCACGCAATGACCATGACTATGGGTTTTAGACATCACGTTGAGCTATAGCTTGTCAAAACTCAAATGAGTCTCGGCATTAGCAATGCCTCATAGTCCAAAGTGGACCACACTCCCACTGGAGCTAATATTTCACTATATAATTTCAGTACATGCTCTCATAAGGCCTTTAAATGGCCACATAACCCCAACACAGATTTGTGAGTTCAACAAGATATAAAATTTTAAATGCCATCCGTCAGTTGATCCGGTGTGGGGTGGGCTAACCCCTTAGGGGGTAACCCTAGGCAAAAATCTGTAAGTCTTTTCTCAGTTTTTAATTTTATTTTCTGTTGTTCGTCTTAGTTTTTGCTTCCTAAAATTGTTAGTTTGTATTTAGATTAAAATAAAGTTTATTTGGCAGTAAATTATAAAGATTCTAGATTGTAGTGGGTTTGATTTTATTGTATTTGTAGCACCTGTCAATAGAATTTCCAGCGATTAGTAAAAGAAAAGAAAGAAAAGTTTTGAATTTATAGCCTAGAACTCTACATTGCCACTTCTTTCACATTTTACATGTTTGTCATGTAGTACAGGATTAGAGATCAAACTAGAAAAGTAGCTAGTCTGATCCAATTTAGTTCACTAGCTATAGGCCCGAGAAAATTATATACAAAGCCCAAGGGACATCATCACCATCACCATCACCATCACCATCACCATCCAAGCCTTTTCCTAACAATGGACATAATGAATAATATGGGATCACAACGCATGTTTAGATACAGCACTCCAAAGCTTCCGCCTAAGCCCATTTACAAAGACAAGGATACATGTCAACAGCTGATTCATGTACGAGTGTCAAAATCCTTAGGCTTTTGCTTAGTGGTAGACATCCCGTTTGGGTGAGGCAGGTCAAGGTTTGAACCCTTGAAGCTCATCCCAAGACACCAAACAAGCTGGCTAACCTTTTTGAGGAATAAAGCTTGGACTTTATTGTTGAATATAAAAAGATGGCAACACTAGGTACCAAGTTTAATTCCTAGTACTGAACTACCCTTGAAAATGAGGCTTTTTCAAGGGATGTGATGGAATTCAATAGCAACATTTCAACAATAAAGCTTAAGAAGTGTCTAGTTTCGAAAGGCTTAGGCAATGCATGTCATGCTGATGTAGCACAAAATATTGATGGACAAGATTAACATAAATTAGGACTGGCAATTCTATAGATTCAGTAAAAGTGAAGGTCAAGATGCTGCAGTGGAGAAAAGTCTCTACTACAATGATAAATTAGCAAAAGCTACTCTCTAGCCTCTTTACAAAATTTTAATCAGCCACTCTTTAAAACCCTAAATTATAATAAATGCCAAACTACTCTGACTAATAAAAACCAAAGAATTCTTGGGATTTTGAAGAATATTATCGGGAAAATGTTTTTTTTTTTGTTAATTAATAGATCAACTCTAACTTGTTTTGTTGTTCTATTGAGAATATTGTCAGAAAATGTTTTTTTATGTTGGGAATATTATCAGCAAAATGTTATTTTTTTTCTGTTGAGAATATTATTAGAAAAGTGCTAACTTTCCTTTGATATGAACTTTAATATTTCTTTAAATTAATACTAACTCATTAAAGGATGTTATGCATGTTTTGAATTATACTATGAACTTACTGTTATGCATTTATTGAATTATACTATGAACTTCTGAATGTAGGCATCATTTTACATCTCCTATGTAGTGACTGGATGGGCAAGTCTATCATCAGAACTCACCCGTATATTCCCACTGATTGGAGATTGCTTTGAGAGGCATTGTTCCAAAAAATCTGTTGAAGAATTTGACCTGCCATCGATTGGTTACCACAAGGAAATTCCTAAGTTTCTCCTAGTTGGACTTCTCGGCATGACTTATTTCTTTCTAGCACCAATAATCTTGCCTTTTATCTTGGGCTACTATTGTCTTGGTTACATCATCTACCGTAACCAGGTGAGTCAACATTTTCTTCGAAATATTTAAATTCTCAATTTTCATCAGTATGTTGCATGGTAGAATCATCAAATAAATCTACTTAGACCATTTATCTCACAAAGCAAATGGTATTTGAACATATGGATATCTCTTTGGGTAGACTTCTTTAATTTCCATGGTCTATGCAGATTCTAGAGTCCTCTTTATTTTATCAATGGTTCCTTGATTTCATCAGAACTCACCTCTAGACCAAGGTTATAGAAAACGCTGGGCAGCTCCTAGGTGCCCATTGCCTAGGTGGCCGCTCAAAACCCCAGGCGCCCTGAGG